AGATATAGCCACCGCAAGAGGCCATATAGTGGCTCCATGCATTTTTTGGGATTTTCGAAGGGGACCCTCCAGAAATTTGGACAAAAAATCGAAAATATATTATGTTCTCAGATTTTAATGCAGATTTATGGAGAATCGATCTACGAATCGTTTAAGGTATTCCGCTCAAGAATCGGATTATTTTTGGCAAAGATATGGCCTTCCCTACAGGCCATATGGGGGCTCCATGCATTTTTTGGGATTTTCGAAGGGGACCCTCCAGAAATTTGCACAAAAAATCGAAAATATAATATGTTCTCAGATTTTGATGCAGATTTATGGAGAATCGATCTACAAATCGTTTAACGCATTCCGCTCAAGAATCGGATTATTTTTGCCAAAGATATAGCCACCGCAAGAGGCCATATAGTGGCTCCATGCATTTTTTGGGATTTTCGAAGGGGACCCTCCAGAAATTTGCACAAAAAATCGAAAAAATATTATGTTCTCAGATTTTGATGCAGATTTGTGAAGAATCGATCCACAAATCGTTTAAGGTATTCCGCTCAAGAATCGGATTATTTTTGCCAAAGATATAGCCACCGCAAGAGGCCATATAGTGGCTCCATGCATTTTTTGGGATTTCGAAGGGGACCCTCCAGAAATTTGGACAAAAAATCGAAAATATATTATGTTCTCAGATTTTGATGCAGATTTGTGAAAAATCGATCCACGAATCGTTTAAGGTATTCCGCTCAAGAATCGGATTATTTTTGCCAAAGATATAGCCACCGCAAGAGGCCATATAGTGGCTCCATGCATTTTTTGGGATTTTCGAAGGGGACCCTCCAGAAATTTGGACAAAAAATCGAAAATATATTATGTTCTAAGATTTTGATGCAGATTTGTGGAGAATCGATCCACGAATCGTTTAAGGTATTCCGCTCAAGAATCGGATTATTTTTGCCAAAGATATAGCCACCGCAAGAGGCCATATAGTGGCTCCATGCATTTTTTGGGATTTCGAAGGGGACCCTCCAGAAATTTGGACAAAAAATCGAAAATATATTATGTTCTCAGATTTTGATGCAGATTTGTGAAAAATCGATCCACGAATCGTTTAAGGTATTCCGCTCAAGAATCGGATTATTTTTGCCAAAGATATAGCCACCGCAAGAGGCCATATAGTGGCTCCATGCATTTTTTGGGATGATCGAAGGGAAATTTAGAAATTCTCCAGAAATTTGGACAAAAAATCGAAAATATATTATGTTCTCAGATTTTGATGCAGATTTGTGGAGAACCGATCCACGAATCGTTTAAGGTATTCCGCTCAAGAATCGGATTATTTTTGCCAAAGATATAGCCACCGCAAGAGGCCATATAGTGGCTCCATGCATTTTTTGGGATTTTCGAAGGGGACCCTCCAGAAATTTGGACAAAAATTCGAAAATATATTATGTTCTCAGATTTTGATGCAGATTTGTGGAGAATCGATCCACGAATCGTTTTAGGTATTCCGCTCAAGAATCGGATTATTTTTGCCAAAGATATAGCCACCGCAAGAGGCCATATAGTGGCTCCATGCATTTTTTGGGATTTTCGAAGGGGACCCTCCAGAAATTTGGACAAAAAATCGAAAATATATTATGTTCTCAGATTTTGATGCAGATTTATGGAGAATCGATCTACAAATCGTTTAACGCATTCCGCTCAAGAATCGGATTATTTTTGCCAAAGCTATAGCCACCGCAAGAGGCCATATAGTGGCTCCATGCATTTTTTGGGATTTTCGAAGGGGACCCTCCAGAAATTTGCACAAAAATCGAAAATATATTATGTTCTAAGATTTTGATGCAGATTTGTGGAGAATCGATCCACGAATCGTTTAAGGTATTCCGCTCAAGAATCGGATTATTTTTGCCAAAGATATAGCCACCGCAAGAGGCCATATAGTGGCTCCATGCATTTTTTGGGATGATCGAAGGGAAATTTAGAAATTCTCCAGAAATTTGGACAAAAAATCGAAAATATATTATGTTCTCAGATTTTGATGCAGATTTGTGGAGAACCGATCCACGAATCGTTTAAGGTATTCCGCTCAAGAATCGGATTATTTTTGCCAAAGATATAGCCACCGCAAGAGGCCATATAGTGGCTCCATGCATTTTTTGGGATTTTCGAAGGGGACCCTCCAGAAATTTGGACAAAAATTCGAAAATATATTATCTTCTCAGATTTTGATGCAGATTTGTGGAGAATCGATCCACGAATCGTTTTAGGTATTCCGCTCAAGAATCGGATTATTTTTGCCAAAGATATAGCCACCGCAAGAGGCCATATAGTGGCTCCATGCATTTTTTGGGATTTTCGAAGGGGACCCTCCAGAAATTTGGACAAAAAATCGAAAATATATTATGTTCTCAGATTTTGATGCAGATTTATGGAGAATCGATCTACAAATCGTTTAACGCATTCCGCTCAAGAATCGGATTATTTTTGCCAAAGCTATAGCCACCGCAAGAGGCCATATAGTGGCTCCATGCATTTTTTGGGATTTTCGAAGGGGACCCTCCAGAAATTTGCACAAAAAATCGAAAATATATTATGTTCTAAGATTTTGATGCAGATTTGTGGAGAATCGATCCACGAATCGTTTAAGGTATTCCGCTCAAGAATCGGATTATTTTTGCCAAAGATATAGCCACCGCAAGAGGCCATATAGTGGCTCCATGCATTTTTTGGGATGATCGAAGGGAAATTTAGAAATTCTCCAGAAATTTGGACAAAAAATCGAAAATATATTATGTTCTCAGATTTTGATGCAGATTTTCCGATTCCAAAAGATATAGCCACCGCAAGATGCCATATAGTGGCTCCATGCATTTTTTGGGATGATCGAAGGGAAATTTAGAAATTCTCCAGAAATTTAGACAAAAAATCTAAAAAATATTATGTTCTCAGATTTTGATGCAGATTTATGGAGAATCGATCTACAAATCGTTTAACGTATTCCGCTCAAGAATCGGATTATTTTTGCCAAAGATATGGCCTTCCCTACAGGCCATATGGGGGCTCCATGCATTTTTTGGGATTTTCGAAGGGGACCCTCCAGAAATTTGGACAAAAAATCTAAAAAATGTTATGTTCTCAGATTTTGATGCAGATTTGTGGAGAACCGATCCACGAATCGTTTAAGGTATTCCGCTCAAGAATCGGATTATTTTTGCTAAAGATATAGCCACTGCAAGGGGCCATATAGTGGCTCCATGCATTTTTTGGGATTTTCGAAGGGGACCCTCCAGAAATTTGGACAAAAAATCTTAAAAATATTATGTTCTCAGATTTTGATGCAGATTTGTGGAGAACCGATCCACGAATCGTTTAAGGTATTCCGCTCAAGAATCGGATTATTTTTGCTAAAGATATAGCCACTGCAAGAGGCCATATAGTGGCTCCATGCATTTTTTGGGATTTTCGAAGGGGACCCTCCAGAAATTTGGACAAAAAATCGAAAATATATTATGTTCTCAGATTTTGATGCAGATTTGTGGAGAACCGATCCACGAATCGTTTAAGGTATTCCGCTCAAGAATCGGATTATTTTTGCCAAAGATATAGCCACCGCAAGAGGCCATATAGTGGCTCCATGCATTTTTTGGGATTTTCGAAGGGAAATTTAGAAATTCTCCAGAAATTTGGACAAAAAATCGAAAATATATTATCTTTTCAGATTTTGATGCAGATTTGTGGAGAATCGATCCACGAATCGTTTAAGGTATTCCGCTCAAAACTCGTATTATTTTTGCCAAAGATATAGCCACCGCAAGAGGCCATATAGTGGCTCCATGCATTTTTCGGATTTTCGGGGGACCCTCCAGAAATTTGGACAAAAAATCTAAAAAATGTTATGTTCTCAGATTTTGATGCAGATTTGTGGAGAATCGATCCACGAATCGTTTAAGGTATTCCGCTCAAGAATCGGATTATTTTTGCCAAAGATATAGCCACCGCAAGAGGCCATATAGTGGCTCCATGCATTTTTTGGGATGATCGAAGGGAAATTTAGAAATTCTCCAGAAATTATGCAAAAAATCTAAAAAATATTATGTTCTCAGATTTTGATGCAGATTTATGGAGAATCGATCTACAAATCGTTTAACGTATTCCGCTCAAGAATCGGATTATTTTTGCCAAAGATATGGCCTTCCCTACAGGCCATATGGGGGCTCCATGCATTTTTTGGGATTTTCGAAGGGGACCCTCCAGAAATTTGGACAAAAAATCGAAAAAATATTATGTTCTCAGATTTTGATGCAGATTTATGGAGAACCGATCCACGAATCGTTTAAGGTACTCCGCTCAAGAATCGGATTATTTTTGCCAAAGATATGGCCTTCCCTACAGGCCATATGGGGGCTCCAAGCATATTTTGCTTTTTTGCTGATTTATAGAGAATCGATTAACGAATCGTTTAAGGTATTCCGCTCAAGAATCAAATTATTATTGCCAAAGAAGTGTCTTCCCTAAAGGCCATATGGGGCCTCAAAGCTATTTTTGGGATTCTCAAAGGGGAGCCTCCAGAAATTTTGACTTAAAATCTAAAAAATATTATGTTTCCAAATATATTTTTTCTAACTATGTAATATTGCCGTTTTTGGGAGACATATAGTTCCTACCTTGCGTTATTTTAATTTTGGGATCCCCAGAAAATTGAATGAAAAACATCAATGTATTTGTTAATCTTATTTTAAACATCATAAGGCATCGATAATAACATGACAACTAGAGCTGGCAAAACATCGATAGTGACCCTATCGATGTTTTCGAGGTTTTTTTCGGGAACCATCGATACTATCGCGATAATCGCGATACTATCGCGTTGACATTGACAACTCAGTAAACTAAGAGAATGCAAAGACTTATTGTGCCTTTCCTTCCCATTTGCCAGAGACGTTCTGACTAGACGGTGTACCTTGCAGCACTCTGAACACTGAGTTCAGTTGATTTTCGGCTCGGCAGGCACGGCAGGCACCCGAACTCGGGAACCGAAAGCTCGGAATATAAAGGCAATAATGACCGAGAATCACGTTCCGACCGTTGGCGTCATGTGCATTGATATTGCCACCAAGTTGCAAGAGCATTTTGGAAAGAACTATCACAGCTATATAGCTGCGTCGTACGTCAAATATTTGGAGGCATCGGGCGCTCACATAGTGCCTGTTTGGTAAGTTTCCAAAAAGGGGAGCAAATATAAAATTATTTTATATTGCATTTAATAACACTCCTCTATATCACTGAATTACATTTATTCACACGCCTACTTAAATCATATTTATTCATTAAAAGTATAGTCACGTCTGTAATAGAATATAGTACCTCTGTTTAAGAACAAAGAAAATTGGCAGGGGCATTATCAGCGCCTTCTGGTGAGTGCGATTAAGGGGTTGGGAGGGATAATCAAATTGCATAAACAAATAAGAAACAAATAAATGTTTCAACGCGGGAAGCAAAAGAAATAATTACCCCCTTGGCTGCACTTCGGGCAGAGCGCCAAAAATTTCTTTCAGAATTCGATGGGGCGGGAAAGTAGAGTCTCATGCTATTAAATATGTAGATATGTATGTACATACATGATACAATTATCATGTACATATCGTGTACATATAAGCTTTTGCTTTCGATTTCATTTTTCTTTTAGTTCACGTTAAATGTATTTAATGGCCTTGCTTTTGAAAACATAGATAAAAGTCATAGAAATGTATATTTTTTTCGTATTACTTCTCTAAAGACTTCGTATTACTTCTCTAAATTCGATTACAGGATAGGCCGTAGTCGTGCCTATTATGAACAGATAGTAAACCAGTTGAATGGCATCCTTTTGCCAGGAGGAGCCGTCTTCATCGACGCCGCTGACATGAAGAATCATCCCAATCTCACCAACGATTGTGTGGCAAGTGCAGAAATCATATACCAACTGGTCTCAGAGCGAAACCAGCTGGCAAGGAGACAGAACGACGCCGGCGGCTACTTCCCCCTCTGGGGCACCTGTCTGGGCTTCCAGCTCATCCTAATCCACGCCTGCCAGATGCAAAAGGTGCGCACCGACTGTGCTAACATGCAAACGGCGATGCCAGTGCACTTGTCAAAGGATTACAAGAACTCGCAGCTATTTGGAAAACTTCCGGATATCATGGCGGAGAAAATGGGAAAGGAGCCATGTTCCTGCCACCACCATCACTACTGCATCACGAAGGAGAGCCTGGAGTCCTGCAATTTGAGCAACAACTGGCACCCACTGGCCACCCAAAAAGATCCAACCGGGCTGGAATTTATTACCGTCTTGGAACACCGACGATTTCCCATCTTTGGCTGCCAGTTTCATCCAGAGCGGGCTGCCTTCGAGCAGCTGTTTGCCTCCGAGGATCTCTGCCAATTGGGACATTCCCAGTTGGCCATTGACTTGGCCCAGGTCCTGGGCACCCAGTTTGTAAAGGCCTGTCGCCGGAACAGAAACCGATTTTCCAGCGGGCTGGAAAAGGCCAGGCATCTCATTTGGAACTGGCAGCCTGTGTTCTGTGGCCACTTGAAGGACTCCCACTGGCTGCAGTGCTACATATTCGAAAAGGTCGTGGACTATCCGAAAGGACTTGGCTCAATAGGAAAGGATTTCTGTGATTAAATTTTGTGAAAGTGTACTTTTTATGTTATATACAAATATAATAAACTAATTATAATTCTAGCCCAACTCATTGCCTTTTGATTTTGAAGGGAAAGCTTTTTAATTTTGTATTTTAAATTTCTTTGTTTAACAGTACAAATCCTAAATAATTAATTTTAATCTGAGCTTTCCACTTCAAACTTGTTGATCCCCTTCCTGAAATTATTCTTAGCCTTGAAATGCTTTGGCTTTTCTGCTTCCTGTTGGTAGCTCTTGAACATTTTCTTTTTATTATTTTGTCCCGATACTAGAGTAGTTGTGAGTACTTTTCCACATTTGTCTTATGCAAATTTTCGCCGTACTTTTCCGTTCAAATTTGGAGCTTGTCTCCTCATTTCTCCTTTTTTTTCAAGAATTTTCCATGGTGGAAAGCTATTTTCCGTTGACTGCGGTTCTCCCTCGTGCAAATGGAATATTTTTGTTCGGTTTTATGGGTCTTCCTTTGGCAAGGGGTATGTCAGTTAAGAATATTTATGGAATGGGATACAACATCATTTGGGTTTTAGGACTAAAGGATTCTTATAGGAAACACATATAAAAACAATGATATAGTTAAGAAATAAAAATATTTTGAAAATTTTATATATATATGCAAAATACATCCTTTATTTTTATTTTAGTCAACTACAGGGAATCTTCCTTTTCATGTCTGATACTTTGAATTTTCTTTATTTTCTCCCCTTTTTTTTAAGCTTTTTTGGGCATGTCCTTTTCATCTTCCACAGTCACAGTGTTTTTAGCCTTTTCACTCGAGGGGCTCGTCAAAAGGTTGGATGCTCATAATTAGCGCATGACAGAGCGGAATTTTTTCCTGCCAGGCTTATGGGTATTTGTAAATTCCTCAGCGAATACCATTAGACGGACACTGGCTCAGTTATTTGTTTGTATTCCTTTTTTCCATACAGGGGTTAAAGTTCAGTCCTTGGCGCGAACACAATTTATTGTTGCCCGGTGGCGGGTGGAGTTGCTTGTTATGGCACCTGTTATTTTGTCAGATTCCCATTATTGCGAGGGGCTTCCATTCTCATTGTTGTGTCCTGGTATCTCTCTGTCTGGGTCGCTGTGGTTTTCCGCCCTGTCTGGATCGGGTTTTGTTGAATGCTTCCCCCTCTATTGTTGCGAATGTGTCTTTTCTTCAAACCACTATCGAATGCTAATCAGGCTAGACTATATAATCAGGCTATAGTGTCTAGCCAGAACTGACTTACTAATTGTCCTTAAAGCAGGCACACGTGCTTCTATTGAGTAACATATTTTCCGGGCAGTTATTTTTGGCCGTAAAACGGATGTCTGGGCTAGGAAAAAGCCAACAATTTGTTTTTAATATTTTATTAAATTATGTTCTCAATTTATCCAGAAATTCAGAATTTATTCAATATTCAGTTCATAGTCCATGTTGGGATTGTCTACAATACTCATTCCCAGTTCATTGCGCACCCTGCCGTCGTAGAACTTGAGTCCAGCAAAGTGCTCGATGTCCCGAATCTCCGAGAGAAAGGCTCGAAGATCCATGTTCTTGTCGATGTCAGCATTGGGCACCACATATCCCTCCATGAAGGGCAGATCAAAGTTCCCCTTCTGCTCGCTAATGATTACCTTGAAGAAGTGCGTGGGCACGGCGACCGTGTTCATGCCCATGACATGATGTCGAATGGCCCAATTCCGGAAGGTTATCCGCTGGGGCATAAACATGGGTCCGGTGTACACATAGACGGCATCCGACCGCAGGGTCAGTAGCCTCACATAATGCTCCAGTTTCTGCCAAATGTTGGTCTTAAGACCCCGATGGATGGGCACAATGTTGGGGAACTTGTAGGTTTCGTGGAACCTTACATAGTCGCACTTGTAGTTTTGCGGCGAAGCCATGTGGCCTCCAACCCAGTCACTGTTTCGAAAGTCCCTCATCGTGGGGGAAAACATGGCCGGTATGGTGTAATCCGTTATGTACTCATTGGGCTTAACAAGGGTCTTGGGATCCCTCTCCGATAGGCACTCCACGCCCAGACGCTCGCAAACCCAGTGGGCGATTCGGTTGCGGCGATCGTAAGAAACGACAAAGTTCTTATAGATATGGATGTCGTCCATTCCGGGAAATCCGTACTTCATGATTTCGTTCACGTTTTCGATTTCATCTCGATTTTCGGGTTCGGTCGAGTCTCGCTTAGAAAGGGAAAAGGCCATACAAAATGTCTTCAATCATTAAGGTTAGAGGTTAACTTACTACCTTTCGAATCCGAGAACGTCCCCAGAACATGGCTTTATCAACAACACTACATCCTTCCTCATCTGCGGCAGTGACAAGCTTCCTTGATAATCTCTTTCCCGGAGCTATCGGAGTTGCCTGAGGGGGCTCAGCTTCCACCCCCAGGAATCTCAGCTATAACTCTGGAAAAGTATTACCTATCGGGACACATTGAAAGGACTCTGACTTACCGCACTGTACAACTTGTGACGGCTTCGATAAACATACGGATCCTGATGGGTAACGCTCTTAACCCGCTTGTACGATATGTGCTGCTGGGCAACGGCTCCGATAAAAAAAAATGCAACTGCTGTCACCCCACAAAACGGAACAATCAGGTAAATTGACATTTTTGAGTTAGAAAACTCTACCGGTTTACGTAAAATCGAAAATTGACATAGCAATATCCGCTACTTTGGGAATTACCTATGTATATCCCAATTCAATCTTCGGCAGTGCTTTAAATTAACATTTTGAAAATTTTGAAAATATATAGAACTTCTATTTACTTTAATTCAATATTTTCTTTTTAGACAATTTTAGAAAAGCATATACACTTATTTATTTATTTAAATGGTTTGAAATTGGTTCTATTTAATTAGAAAATGTATCGAAAAACAAGTTGCTGGCTATTAGGCTATTAAAAGCCATTAACACCAAACATGACTGCATACTTTCGGGAATTTCGAAATGTCTTTACTCCTTATAGACATTAAAGTTAATGAACTTGTACTTTTTATATAAATGGTGATATTAATGAAAATATTCGACTATTTTTCCAATGTATATTTACTAAAGAGGAACGAAAAAATAAAAGATCTGATAGAAAGGAAAAGCTTAGTCCTAAACAATATCTTCAGAAGTTCCGGTTCCGAGATCCATAATCAAAAAATAGAAGAAGAAACTATAGAGAAATCCTAGTGACAATTTGAAAATATTAAAGAATGAAATTAAATACTCCTAATAAAAACTTGTGCTTAAATCTTATTGGCCAAAGTTCATAAATAAATTTATCTAATCAAAAACTTAGGTTTTAATATCAATTGAATCGTGTTTATTATCTTTTAAACCTCAAATGATGATAAATATGTTTCTATTTTATACATATATGACACATTTTAAATAATAGCATGTTGACAGCGGTATAAAATCGAGTAAATCACAAACAGTATTAGGTCCTCATGTAGTATCGAGTGCCGAAGGGCGAACACATTCTTTCCAGGCAAGAACAGCAAATATAGGAGTCAACTGAATGAATCAGTTTATTGCTACAAACAGCATAGTGAGGAGTAAGCCACTAACTGGCACTATACCAGAAGCACCTCCACCAGCATTCTGGTCATAGTAGGGAGGATAGTAGTTAGTCCCCTCTCCATCGCCACCCTCATCCGGTATTTCGGGAACTTCAATTCCCATTTCCTTATTGGTAAACAAATATTGCTGCACATAGGAAGACCCCAGAATCGATGTGTACTCCGGATTGTAGTTGTAAATTAGCGACCTGGCCTGTTCCGTAGAGTTTGAGAAGCTATTCGGACTTTTCCTCGCCTCGTTTACAAGGAAATCGGCAAAGAATTGGCCACTCAAAACGGCAGCAGATGTATGAGGAATACTCGTCTTGGTGAACTCGTAAAGTGGTTTCTCTGGGTGAAATTGGACGCCATAAAACGGGTACTTCAAGTGCTCCATTGTAGAAATAAACTCGACTCCGTCTAGGTCACGATTGAGGGATATAACTCGCCATGTTTCGTTTAGGTGATCCTGTGCAAAGTCCTCTTCGGTATAGCAGAACTGATGCCAGTGGTAGGTGACATTTTCCCTGACCATGAGGCTTACAATATCGTCACTAATGGAGGCAAAAAGTCGGCTTTTGGCGTAGTCTTAAGAGAGATTAAAGTATTAATCAGTTTTTAAAGTACAAAAGGTTTTTCTTACCGTCTTTAAACTCCATGGGGAGTGCAATTCCCTTTCCTTTGCAGTCGATGCGATGCTCTGGTCCGTTTGCCAGCTTGTATACCAACAATTCCATTCCCAAACAAGTGCCCCAAACCGGCATGAAGGTTCCCCGATCGTTCAATTCTATAGCCAACTGGATGAGATGCTCGCCGGCATCGGCATACCCGTTGCTCTGATTAAACCAAGTAGCCCCGCCAGGTAACAAAACCCTGAAAGAATATCAATAAATCTTAATACTGGGCTTTTCTTCGTTTATTTTTAGACACTCACCCGTTTATCTTCTGCATGAGATCTTCGTAGTAGCTGCGATTGCGACCAATCCTGGCGGGAAAGAATGAAAATTGTTTATTAATTGGCTTTGCGGCAATCTTATCGGGATATGCGATTTCGGCAACAAAAACATGTTTATTTTATGAATTTACGATCTATATATACACGTGTATGAATACTTTTTCTTATCTTGATTTTGCGCCTTGCTCAGATATCTGTATCTGTCTGTCCACTCACCAAATTGGCACCACTTGGGCCCCAGCTCCTTCTAGATACTTCACATACGAAGCGGCAATATAACTAGTCTTGTTCTCGAAGTGACGCGAGATCAGGCCATCAGGGTAAACCTCCTGGGTCAGGATTCCTATGATGGGTGTGGATATTTCCGCAGAAGAAAGCATCAGCGTTCCCATAAGGAATGGCAAAATTGTAAAGAGTTTATTCATTTTGGTTGAGGTTTGTTCGAACTTGGCACTTGTAAAGAAAGCTAAAAATAAAACAAGGAATTCTATTAATTTACTTGACTTATTGAATTAAATTTCCTGAGATATAAGCTTCACCTGTTTTTACTAAGGATTGTTTTCTTACCGAAGGAGTATTGATTATTCCAAAGGTGGTATTAGTTTACTAGCATAAACAAAGTCCGAGGATTGGGTAAACATGCCTTTGAATGAATACCTTTTAACCCCAAACACTTTATTTGGCACGAGAACTCTACTGCGAGTCCACTATCCGCTACCCTTGGTATAGAACTACCAACTGCAGCAACTGGCGCCTTAAATTTATAGAATTTGCGCCGATTTTTCCTCCACCTCGTCCCTCAGATACAGTTTCTATGGCTGTGTTTGTGGGCATGAGTAGGCTGAAATCGATGAGGTGACGTTGGTGTGCGAGCTCCTAAGTGCTCCCGCGGGTGTCCCCCCGATGAGCTGAGTTCAACAGATAGCACGGCGATTAATTGATTAAGTTATTCCCAAACTGTGGCCCGAGTAACAGGGTGTTGCTCCTCGAAAAGGGGAAAAACGCTACGAGATTCCATTGAAATTGGAAAGAAAACCAGTTTCATTGACAGTTTACCGACCGCGAAACCACTATAACTCTTATAGAGCTATAGCATTTTATTCACATTATAAAACAAGCGCTCTTTGTTATTGTTTACCTAACAGCTGATAGCAACAGGTAGGTGTGATTGTGTGCGATTCGATTGCCAGATCGATATTTCCAATTTCAGCTGCCCAGCAAACTTTGCTGCTTCTGTTTAATGCTGCTCTGAATGCTCAGCAGGTACTTCATCTCCACAAGAGTTCCTTTAACCCCTTGGAGGTCTTTTTCTTCGAAGAAGGAGGTAAGTTTTTGGGTCAGTTCCTCCAGCTCTTTTATAAGTTCGGCATTCAAAGCCTCCAAGGCCTGTTGATCTTCAGCCTCCTCCACTTCCTCATTCTTTTCCATCATGGCCATAAGGAACTCCTTATTTAGAGCACTGTTGTCTTGCGGCATTTGATCACCTTCCAACTGAAGCAGATACTGTCCTCGATTAATTGGAGTGGCCAGGGTCTTATAGGCCTTGTTGATCAGTGAACTCCAATCGGCTGAATTGATTTGCTCCCGAGATGTCCTAAAAAAAGACTATCAAAATTATGCTCCTTACTTGCTTATAATTCACTCACTTGTTGCTAAATTTATCAGGATGCACCAGAGTCTGCAACTGACGGAAACTCTGCGTTAACTTTTGGGGCTCCAGCGGAAACTTTGTGGGAAAGCTCAGCAAATCAAAGTAGTTCTGCAAAGTAAACATTAAAGTAAACCGATAAAGGTAATTAAATTAGTCTTACTATGGTCGCATCTACATCCTGCAGGTGCCCACAGTCTGGACAGATCATATTATGCTTTAATTCAGACTTCTTTTGACAATTCCAACATGCCGGCAAGGATTTGGTTGCAAACCTTTGCACTTGGGGAAGTCTGAATCGTTCAAATTGCTCCAAAACATTTCGAGCAGGTGACACATAGTTTCTTGACCTTCCGGCAGTCCGAAAAGCCTGAATTATACTTCTCATTTTGTAAACGAAATAAAACAATTATTATCTACTAGCTAAAAATTACATATCCGATAACAGCTGACCAACCATCTGATGAAGAGCCTTGAAATAGGTGGCACGACTTTTAGAAAAAGGTGGCATCGCCAAAAGCCTCCGCCGCCAAGTTTAAGCTTTTTGAGTAAATTTATAATTTTTTAAACTTAATTGAAAGGTTCTATGGAAATTTTTGATCCCTTAATGCACTAAGATTTAATCTATAATTTCGTCTTTAATCTTAAAATATGTCATTTCGGAGCTAATCTTTGAAATGCTTTTAGAAAATCATATTCAATGATTCTTAAGATTAATTTTATGTCTGCATGATACTTAAAGGTTATTTTCACAAAGTTGCAAGCTTCCTGGGTCGCATCCAATTAAAAATAATCAACATTAACAAGATGAAATTAGGAATCAGAAAAGAAGCAGAAGCCACTAAAAAAATATACAAATAGAGACCAATAGACCAATAATATAGAAATATTGGTCAAAGGCTATATTAGACGATATAAAGTTTTCATTTATTATAAGTTATATTTATTTGTGTGACGCTTAGAAACTAGGATTTGGGTAGTTGGTCCCTCTTTACATTGAATCTTTTCGATAGGCTCTGTAGCTGTTCATTTCGTTGGGAAAGGTTTTGTACAACTCCAATAGAAGATTAGTCTTAAACTTTTTGAGGCTCTCAATCTTGCCCTTGACTTCCTCGTTCTTGGCCAGAGCCTTTTCCACACAATCCTTGGTGTACAGCTGAGGATTTTTGTCCTGGTCAATGTAATCGAAGAACACCTCGAAGGGCACATACACGTCCTGCACTTGCGAGCGAAGTTTGTCGATTTCCTGGAGTCCAGTTACCAAGCTGTTACTGCAAAAGCAATTTGGGTTGCGTTAGAAGTTTAAAAACTATAATATTTTCCACAAATAATGGATGTTTACATTTTTTGATTCAGAACGTTTTGACCCTGTGGCTGGAAATCGCTAACTATGATGCGTATTTGTCGCACATTCTCGATGAACATCTCCAGTTGCGTCTCTAGGTTTTCCAATGGTGCAGACATTTTTTAAACTATCAAAAAAGGTCTGTTTTCGCGTATTTACTTGTTTTTTCTAGAAAATAATGGCCAAGCATATAATTGCGATCTAGTGGTTGAAAATGTCTTCTTTTCGGTGTTGGAAAACTTTTAAATGTGAAACGGTAAAGTATTTGTAATCCTACTAGATTTATTCTGCTTATATATAAGAAATTGGATAATTAAATCATTTTTATTTTTCATTTCATTTTCATTATTAAAAAAAAAAATTTAATGTTATATGAATTTAAATTTAGTTTGGTAAATTTATTTTAAAAACGGCTAAGAAAAAATACCATAATGAAACTACATCACTGGGTCAGTGTTAGAAAACGCTTGCAGGAAAACTGCGTGATTTTATTTTTTGGACGAGAACTTAAGGAATTTCATAGCTTAAACTGCCAATAATTGTACTAAATTAATATTATAGAATGTCGGATGGTGATTTAGATGCCTTACGCGCTCAGCGCATGTCACAGTTGCAGTCGCAATTTGTAAGTGAAGAATATTATTAGACAACCGGCTTAGTCATACACTTCTGGAACACCTGTTCCTACAAATCATTATCCTTCAAATATCCTTTTCTAATGGGCCTTCGATTTTAGGGCGGCGGCGGTGGCAATGATGCAGAAAAACAACAAGCCCAACAGGAGCAGATGCGCGCCCAGGAGGAGATGAAGCACTCGATTCTGTCCCAGGTTCTTGACCAGCAGGCTAGGGCGCGACGTAAGTTTAAAAATAGAATTATTCCCCCTTTCCTTCTATGCGAAAGATTAAAAAACTCGGATTTACAAAGATTATTCTTCTTTACAGTGAACACACTCAAGGTGAGCAAGCCGGAAAAGGCACAAATGTTCGAGAACATGGTCATCCGGATGGCCCAGATGGGTCAGGTGCGCGGTAAACTCGACGACGCCCAGTTTGTGAGCATCCTGGAGAGCGTCAACGCCCAGATGCCTCAGAGCAAGTCCACCGTCAAGTACGATCGACGCCGAGCAGCCATTGATAGCGACGACGATGAAGACTACGGCTGCTGATCCGGCCAGAATCGCACTCAGCTACTCCTTATAATTTTAGTTTTTGCTAAATCATCTTTATTTTTAATAACTTAAAAACAAAACAAAAAAAAAAAGAACCAACGCTCGCATGTGAATTGATTCTATTTTTGTCAAATGCTGGATGTTGAAGCGGTTTGGAAGTTCTCCTCCAGCGTACGTGAGATGATTTGACATAGGACTAGATTTGGCTTACATATAGGCGGTAGAAAAGTTTCTCTAGGGGATGGGAATGGTGACTTATTGCATGGTCTCTTCTATTCCGTTTGGATATACTCTCTACTCTTAGTTTTGTTTACTAGCTTTAGAAAATCGAGATCGTCTGGGAAAGACCTTTCCGCTTATTCCTTTTTCTCGTGGTCCTCTTCCGGGTCTTCCTCCGTAACCAAGCAATCCCCGCAGAATATGGAGTACATAATTAACGAAAGGAATCCCAGGGGCAGGCCAAAGATGACGGTGGTCAGTACAGGATTACCCTGCCACATATCCCTCAGGGATCTTCGCACCTCGAACAAAGCCCTGTTCAAGCGCACAAAGTACGTATCTCCTCCGTAGGCTACGGCGCTTTCGTTGGCAATGGACTCAAGGAACAGGTGCAAGGCCTGTGGGGTCATCTGCAATGGATCGTCATCCGGTATAAAGTGGTGCTGGGTGCTCGAGTTTATGGCAATCAGATGGGGCGTGGGCAGTTGGTCCAGAATGATTGAATGGGCTATGGAAGGCTCTCCAATCTAAAGAAAATTCTACATTGAAACAGAAACCCACATGGGTGTAGCTTCCACTTACCCATCCGAATTGGAATTTGTCGTGATACCGAGGACGATGTTTTCGTATCACTCCCTCGACCATGTCTCGGAACTCCAGCTCGTGAGTGGCTATTTGGTTGAGCTTATCCTCCTGTACAACCGCCAGAACCAAGTACTTGTTCGTTTTTAGCAACTGGTGGATATTGAATCGTGTGACCTTCGGGAACAAGGTGAACCTCTCCACATTCACCCACTGGAAGATGGTCTCGTTCACTTCATTGGGATCCATTTCGTGAGCCAGGTGGCCGTGGGGATAGAAGTGGTGCTGCTCCTCTTTGTAAACAATAACTGCTGGCAGTTTCTCAAAGTCAAAGTGCTGGGCGGCAATATCTTCACCGGTGGCGTAGAAGAACCCGTGCTCTTGGTACCCCTCCGCCGCCGCATAGTACGTATCCCACACCACACCCTCCTGCTGGCCAACAAACATAAAGAAGATCGTGTGGGATCCTTTTAGCATATCCACGCTCTCAGTTCGCGTGACTAACTGGACTGGGGGACCAGACATTCTTAAGGCATAGTCGACCAGTTCATCGCGGCCACGGTCGCCATTGTAGGTGAACTCCATGTTTCCCTTGATGAACATAATTGTGGGATATCCTCGAACCTGAAACAGAGAGATTTCCATGTAGAATGAAAGCCTCCATGTGGTTAAGGTATGTGAACCTTAAACTCCTTGGCAGCGGCTGGATACTTGGTGCAATCCAGGCGGCCCACTCGCACATTCGTCGCATGCAGCGCCTGGGCCACCAAGGCGAATATGGGCTCCGTCTTCTTGCAGTAGCCGCACCATGGCGCGTAGAACATCACCAGCCACTGGCCTTCATGTCTCACATCGATGAAGCGATCGCTCAGTTCCAGAACCCGCGAGGATACCGCCGCCGATCCCAAAGCCAGCAGGAGCGCTAAAGTTTTCGCAAAATATTTAATGAGTGTGTGTATATGCATGACTGTTTACCCATCTTCTGGGCTGTGTATTTACCACTCAGGAGAATCCAAGCCCACTGAGACTTTGGCGACATATTTTCTTTTTATCTTTGTACTAAAAACTATCAAGTTCCAGGCTCTTTTCTGTCTATTTTAACTAATTTAATTAATTTAAAATGAAAACATTTGTGAAAACCACCACCTCTGTTTTGGTGTGACCAGATTATCTTGATTGCAAACGACAACTTTGATAAGAATCGGTTGAACAAATGTTATTGCGCAAATAAGCAGTGATAAACACATCCCAATTAATTAAACTAACGCTTAAATTATTTATTTAATGCTTTTAAATCATTTTAAAGATGCATATTCGTTTATTTTTGAAACATTCATGTTTATTGCTTGGCAACCCTAACCGTTTGTTTACAACCGCACTAAAACGGTCTGGCAGCACTGCACCACACACGTGCAACTGTTGAGGGTTTTGTTTTAGTTGGATTTCCTCATTTCCACAGTAAATTTACTAATAAAAAGATGACAAATACAACCAAGAAGGAAACAAAAGCTGAAGGGAAGCACCAGTTGCACAATGTGCGCTTCTATACTATCAAACCCCGTGCCATTGTTAGCTTGGCCTACAGCAAAAAGAGCAAGTGTCTCGCGCTGAGTCGGTAAAATATGTCACAAAACTAAAGGAAAAATAACACCTACTTATGATCACTCATTTTCCAGAGAATCACCCAGCTTAGAGCTGTGGAATCTGGAACATACACCCTACCTGGATTCTGTTATTCACCTGCCAGAAGATTCTTCGGTGGAGTCTTTAGTCTGGGCTGGCAGTCGACTGTTTTCCGTGGATCTCTCGGGCCATCTTATCGAATGGGATCTTAAAACCCTCAAGCCACGTATTGAGCATTCTCCTACCGGCAATGCCCTCTGGTGCGTAGACGTCAATCCCTCAGAAACGGAGCTCGCAGTGGGATCGGAGGAGGGCCACATAAACATCCTGAGCATTGAAAACGATGAAGTCACCTACAAATCGCTCTTCAACCAGCAGAAGGGCCGCGTGCTCTGCCTAAAGTTCGACAAAACAGGAAAAAAACTAGTATCTGGCACAGAGGGATTCGTTCGGATTTGGAATGTCCTCAAAGGAACCACTCTACACACCATGACGCTCTCAGCAAAGGATGTGATTGTGTGGTCTCTTCAGGTTCTATCCGATAATACGATAATAGCTGGAGACTCGGAGGGATGTGTGACTGTTTGGAATGCCGAGAACGCCGCGCAGATCGATTCTACTCGAGTCTTGGACAAGAACGTATTTGCCCTCGCTGTGAACGAAAAGGAGGATCGCCTGGTTTGCAGTGGAATGGAGCCGCCCCTGATTCGAGTCTTCAGCAAAACTCAGATCAAGCGGGAGGAGTCCACCAGCGAGCGCTGGATTAAGTTCGTTCAGCGCGACGCCCACAAGCACTACGTCAAATCCCTGGCACTGGTTGATGGCCAGATTTTTTCTGGAGGCCTGGACGGCATCTTGACCATCACATCCAGCGAAAGGATGCAAGCGCAGCTCTCACAGCATGCTCCCTTCCTAAAAGGATCAGTGGCATCGGTAGCTGCCAGTCAGAAGCTTCTACTCCTGAGGTATCCAAACAGCCTCCATCTCTGGCAGTTGGGATCAGTAGCTGCCACCGACGAGGAGAAAAAGAAGTCCTGGAATCATCCAGTGGGCCATACGGAGGAGCTCCTTTTGGAACAGCCACCTCAGAAGCTCCTCGAGCTGAATGTGAAGGAGAACAGCTTCATACAGGCCGCCGCCATTTCCCCCGATGCCAATTGGATCTGTTACTCCACGCTCACTGAGCTCAGGCTAACGCGTGTGACACGAGACCCGCTCGCAGTGGAGCGTCTGGTGGACGATCTTCCCGAGGAACTAGGACCCTCCAGTCACATCATCTTCACCAAACGGGATAAGCTGGCACTCCTGAACCCCCAAAACAATCACCTCAGCTGGTTTAATCTGAAGGAAAATAGCGTTGTCTTCCAAAACAGCATCGACCTGAGTAGCCATTGCACATCTGCGATCAGCCATCTGGTGGTTTCCCATAGCGGGGAGTACGTTGTGGCAGCCACATCCACAAAACTGATTGCCGTTTGGAAGCTTCAGGGCAAGAAGTACGAGCACCTGTTGAATCTGCCGCGATATCGTGCGGGAACCACTGCTCTGTCCATTCATCAGGATCATCCACGGGTGGTGGTGGCCTACGCCGATGGTCGGTTGGTGGAGTACGATTTAGTCAAGAAGAGGTTCACTTGCGAGACGGACGAGTACCTGATCCCAGACACAAGGCACTACTGCATCAACGGCATCAGCCTGGATCCCAAGAACCCCAACATATTCCTCGTGCACACAGAAACCAGCTTGTATGTGCTGGAGAGGGTTCAGTCTCTAGATCAAGCGGACTATGTGGTGGACTCAAAGTCCAAGAAGTTGACGAATCAGAAGCGTACTTCGCTGTCAGACAGTGGGAAGGGATTGGCTATCAAGACTCAGTTGCCCAGACAGGTGAGGTCCCTAAATGTATTAATAAACCGTGAAATCTGCTACCATACCTACTAGTCCTCCCACTTGCCTTTAACTGAATTTATTCTGGCCATTTCGTCAATAACCTGCAACGATTCCGTCTCTTTATTTCGTCCTTTGCAGCACCTGGTGCACGTGTCCCGGCTGAGTCCTAACGAACTTGTCAACGTCAGCATTTCGACAAACAATCTGCTCGCCACGCTGCCGCCGCCGTTCCAGCGAAAGAAGTTCGCAGCCGCGTAGGCGGAGGCACGGAGGCGACAACCCGGAGGATGAACGAAGGAGGACCACTTCGCTTAGGTTTACCTACTAGTTTCCACATAGTTACCAAATAAAATCAAAGTAGAAAACAATGGCGGAGTGAATGCTTGGAGGCCCGTTGCGAAAAATTTGTCAAATGTATTGCCAAAAATTTGTCTCTGCCATCGGCATCGACGACATCGACGAAGTCTCCTCCTGCTCCCCAACATGGATCATGCTCGGGGATATTTTTTTTGTTTCTTCCATTTTTTTCGGCGACGGCGAGGAGAGGGCTACGTGAATTGTGCAACATTTCGTTTCGTTTTGTGTCGCCGGCATTTACTGTAATTGTTGTTGCTGTTATTTTTTGGTTTTACACTGTCTAGCCAATGTCTAGACAAGTGCATACCACACAGACAGTCGAAAACACACGCACACAGCGCCGATCTGGGAGCCGGGCGGCGTGTGGCAGGCCGCGGTGGCGGAGGCGGACTGTGGACTGTGGACTGCTGACTGCGGGATGCGGGGGAATGTCGATGCACAATTCAACTTTTAGCTCAAAAACTCATTGCCCGGCTGGGCCGACGGACGTCTGCTGCTGCTGCTCCACCACTCGGTGGTTGGAGAGTGGGTGGTTCGGCCGAAAAAAAAAGTATCCTGCAGCCATGAGAGGCTCTGACTCTGACTCTGGTTCGGGATGGGTCATGACCACTTTTTGGATCAGAAAGGTGATTAAAACTTTCCATTTGAAACGTAGAAACGCTGGATGGCTGCAGGAGGAGGAATTGTGGTGCATATCACTATGTGGGATATCATGGAGATATTTAATCGTTTAATTGAAAAAGTTAACTTACTAATTAATTAAATATTTCTAAAATATAATCAGATATTTATGATGGTATTAAGGTATGGTATTTCCCTACCAATTTGGTTCCAAGTTCAGCTTTTATATTATTTAAACAAACCTCTTCTAAGGATTATAATGATACCATATCTATATAGTATTTTATTTTATTTATTTTTAGAGCATCATTAGTTCGTTACACTACCCTATACTCATACCCTATTTTTTCAATTTGAATAAAAAATATTTTGAAAGTATGGATCCCTTTCCCATAGCTGCCCCAAAACTTTTTTTTTTAACTGCGACCGTAACCGACCGACTGGCTGACTGGCTGACTGCGGTTGTGGGGGCGTTACGAGTGGGCGTGCCGCTATTGGAGGGACAGTTTTCGCTTGGCAGGGCAAAGTGGCGAACAGACATGAATAATGAGTGAATCCGGTTGAAATATTCAAACTAACCATACAAAACTATAAATGCACACATAACGCATACGCAACGTATGCCAATTTTGGTTGCAGCACCCAGACCCCGGGCTCCGCACCCACCGCAACCGAAACAATTCCCCTTGGGGCGCTTTTGTCGGCATTAAAACTCACTTAGCCGGTGAAAGGCGTTGAGCGAAATGGAATGAAGGAGTTGCGGAGGAGCTGGTATGGGAAAAAGTTATGCAAACTACGCAATGCAAACTAAGGGAAAAGTCGGGCTGCAGTCAAAGGAAGAAGTCGTGAGAGTCTGCCAAAGACGTCTAGACAGGCAATGGGCGAAACTTTGGCGGTGGCGAAAAAAAGTTATTTCGCTCCAAAGGGGGCGGCAGTCAACAGACGGATCCGAGGGGGGTGTAGCCGGAAAGAGGTTAAGGAACAATGCCTCAAATTGACATTTAATTGGTTTGCAAATTAGCCAGCCAACAGAGAACAGAAAGGAAGCGAATGTTCCCAAAGGAATTTGCACCTCAATTGCACATTTTATTTTCAGGGATGCAACGTGGAGTTTACTTCATCATTAAAATAACTTTAAATATAAATATTAATCTACTTAATATATTAGCTTATTTTATATTTAAAACAAAGTTTCAACTTTATATTAAAACTTTAAAAAATACCTTTTTAAAACATACCTCCTATGCTGGCTTATTAATTATTTTCAGCATATATTTTAACCATTAATTAGCATAATAACTCCCATTTTTGGCTCTGCACCCCTACTATTTTTCGATTCAACTCCAATTCCTGCGTGAAACCTCAACAGATTCGAGGTGCTAATAAACAAGGACTCGCGCTGGCTAAATTACAGCCGCTAATGAATGAAGTGGGATAAAGCTCAATTTGCATTTAATAATATTAACGCGTGGGCGAGGCCGAGGGCGGTGGGTGCTAATTGGGCGTTGGAGTGGGTGGTGGGGTAGTGGGGCATGGAGGGCAGAGAGTATGGGGTAAATGCTCGCATCAGCATAAATCGCATGCGGTTGTCATGGCATCGGGGAGAGGGCAACCAACTCAAGTCTAGACAGTCATGGGATGCAACAGCAACAGGAGCAGCAGTCCAGAGGACAATGTAAGGACAAACGTGTCCTGTCTGTCTGACTGGCTGGCAGGGATAGAGGGGGGCAGGCAGGTCTAGGTTTAAGGGGTAACTGCGCCCTGTCTGAGGCATCGTAACTTTTGGCTCAACACAAAACTTGATTGAATTTTATGCTCGCCGGCCAACCGGCCCAGACCCCGGCAACAATGAAAAGAAAGCATTCGGGGAAAGCCAGCACTTAATTGGTCTGAAGGAAACCTCTTCGTGGGGCCACAACAAAAAACAATATTAATGAAAGTGCAGCTGTGCAGGTAATGACCAGCCGAAAAGGTCAAAATAGCTGAGAGTTGGCCAACTCAAGTGGCTTTGACTTTGGCTATGGGTTCATAAAAATCCAGTTTATTATCCAGGTCGCAATTCTGCTCTTGGTGAGATCGGTCGTGTCGCGGAGAAGCAAACCAAAAAGCAAGAATATTCCCTTTTCCCTTTTGGGCACTGTTCGTAAACAAATCGTTAAATTTCGGACGCTGTCTTGTACAGCGTCGGCAGTTGAACTACAACAAAAACATAACTGTAGTGCGTTAAGACTGCAGTCTCTGCCCGATTGGGCTGCACCTCACCCCTCACTCTGCGCGCAGCCGCACAAGAGGGGTAAGCCAAACTTTAATTTGAAAATGGATGGACACTTTTCTAACTCCCAGCCGAGCATTAAGCAGATTGATTATGAAAAAATGTATCAAATAGTTGGAAAATCACCTTCTGAGATCAGGTCAGAGATCATCAGTGATCAATGCACACTGTACTCCGAAACTCGGAACATCAGTACAACAACAACTACGCTATCATTTACTAGTGCTACTAGTAATACAATTTTCTCTACGGCAACTGCGACAACTGCCACAATTAGCAGTGTGTACACACCACAGAGCAATATTAATGTTTTCACACAATGCTCGCCTAACATAGCTTCTCCATTGCGCAGTGGAGCTGCTGCAATTGCCTCTCCAAATGTTAATGAAATTGATATAATTTCGCCTACACCACTGACTGATGCTGCTAACCTCTTGAAGAGCAGCCAAAAACATCTGATAAGTAAGAGGAAGAAACCCCTTTCACCCACACTTAACTCCAAAAAAAGGTCTACAGAGATCTTACCATCAGCATCAACCAGCAAGTCAAGCTACAGTAACAGGTTTGCCTTACTAGACATGGAAGTGGACCTTAACAGTGACAGACAGGTTCAGATGACACAAAGTAATGAAAAGGAAAGCCCTACTAGCTCTTCAGCAGCTGCCCAAATAAATATATCTAATGATTATATGGATACAAATGATTTTGACGACAGATCTCAACAGAGAGATTCTAATAGATATAATAATCTTAATGATTCTTCAAAACCACCGCAAATAGTTTTAAGTATTACCAACCTTAATGAACTATTTAATGTCATTTCGGAGGTCACTAGTTTAGAGAACGTAGAAGTTAAAGTTAACCAAGGAGTCACAGCTAGAATCTTTCCCAAAGACTCTACAACTTATCGAGTAATTGTTGATCATTTTGACAACATGGGAATAGAATTTCACACTTACCAAATGAAGGAAGATAAGCCTTATAGAATAGTGGTTAAGGGGCTTCATCATAGCACATTAACCAGCGAAATTGTTGCTAATTTTAAAACATTTGGCTTTGATGTTCTTCAAGTGCATAACCCAAAGTCAAGGACTAACCGAGATGAAAGACTCAACATATTTTTTATTAATATTAAGCCATGCGCAAAAATAAATGATATATACGATATAGTAACACTTTGCCGGCAACGGGTTAAAATTGAAAGGATGCGCAAAACATCAGAAATTGCGCAATGTATAAGATGCCAAGAATATGGCCACACAGCTAAGTACTGTCGTCGACATCCCTTTTGTGCTCGATGTGGCGAAGATCATCATACAAAGCAATGCCCTCGGCCCCTAGACCAACCGCCTACTTGTATGCACTGCGGTGGGAATCATACGGCCAGCTACAAGGGTTGCCAGAGGTATCAAGATTTCCTTAGACGATCTATGGGTCCCCCAAAGAAACAAACAACACGTCAACCACAAGAAAAACGTGAGCAACATCAGTCAACAGTCAGTCAACAGCAACTCACTAAGCAAATGCCTAACAATTTTGCAACCAATAGCAGGGGTTTATCCTATGCCTCAATAGTCAGAAATGGAAATGGACCTGCCCAACGTCGTCTACATGACCTCCAAGCGCACCAACAATTACAGAACTCGAATAAAAATGCTGTACAACAACAACAAGTGCTCGATGTCCAGTCAATATTAGAGCAACAGCAGCAGCAATTTTTAAAATGGCAACAACAGCTCCAGCAACAGCAGCAGCAGCAATTCTTTTTGTGGCTACAGCAGCAGCAGCAGGAACAACAGCAACAAAACAAGAAGAACAGCCAACGACTTGAACGGCTCGAAAATATGGTTTTCGAAATGGCCAACTCAATCAAACAATGGATGGGGGATAAATCAGTTCCCCAGCGCCACAACAACGTTTCAGCCTCACAATGAACAATCTTAGGATCCTTATCTGGAATGTCAATGGCATTTCCGGTAAAGCCAGAGAAGTTGAACTCTTTGCACACAACAACCGTATTGATATTATACTCTTAAGTGAGATAAGGCTTAATCGAGGAGAAGTAGTTAAAATATATGGATATTCCTTCTATCCAGCGTATAAACCATCACGGCATAA